ATCCAGTTCCCTATGGAACCGGACCGGACCGAACCAAATACCAACGAGAATTTTAGAAATGGAACCATTGGTTCCATAGCTAACTGTGGAACCGAACCTGAACCGAACCAATCAGTTTCGATTCGGTCCGATCCGGTTCTTTACATTGAAAATGTCAAAATAAAATGTTCACTAATAAAAACTCTAAAAATGCTACCAACTTGATACTTTTAACAAAATATAGAAGAATCGAACATATCATTCAAAGATTTATTTAGATATAGATTTACAAAGTGAAAACAAAATAAAAATTTTGCATCCTATAAATCAAATTATATATTGTAAATAAATTTATTTAGGTATAGATTTACCCAATATTCTAATTTGGCTTGAAAATCAATTAATCAAAAAATTATAAGAAGGGATAAGGAAAGAATCAAAGAAAAGAAGGAAATTGCTGGAGTCTAAAATTAAGAAGGAAACCAATTATTTTTTATAAAAGTATTGGAGATTTAGTCATATATTTTACCCAAAAAAAAAATTCCAATGAGAACCATCCAGTTCCCATACTAGAATTGAGAACCGGACCGGAACCGGTCGGTTCTTAAAAATTTGTCCCAAAATCAAATTGTTTTTTAGAAGATCCGGAACCAAATCGCCTGGTTCTAAACGGTTTCGATCCGGTTCCACCGGTTCTGAGAAAAAGTGCCCACTCCTAACTAAGATGCATCATAATTTGTATGTCTTCTGTCCATTTTGCATTTTGTATTAAATTTCAAATTATTTGAGAATGAATATTCTATGATTTAGGCTCCACGAGTTGGCAAATTCGGTAAAAAATGTCTCTATACTATCCATGTTTGATCCCTATTCTTTAAAACCTATTTTCAATCTTACATGTTCTCAATAAAATAATTTTATAAATAAATCCAAAACATTTTCTTATTTTTAAGCACACATTCTTCAAAAAAACACTATTAAAAAGCTCTCTCTCTCTCTCTCTCTCTTTTTTCCCTCAGAAAATGGAGCTCAAACAATATAACAAACTATTTTTGGAAATTGGTTTCTTTTTTCATTCGACCCAGAATTTCACAAGTTTCTTTGGGGAATCTTCGATGATATTTTTGAAACTCTGCATTTTGCACCATTATTTCAACTTTACGCTATCATTTGAATCTCTTTGATGTAGAGTGCTGGAAATCTTGTTATTCCAACTGATAGATTTATCCACAAAGTAGCTTTTAAGCTCCGGAAGGCCCCAAAGTATGGAGCATGAAGTTAAATTACAATTATTTTATTTTATTTATTTATTTATTTATTTAAGTGATGATGATGAAAATTCATGCAATTGAATAAGATGGAGAAAACAAAAATCATTTCTGATCAAATGGATTTGGTTGTTTAACTTCTGATAATAAATGTAGCTGTTGGTTAAATAATTTACATTGAGCAATTGTGGTTTAACATTCAAGTTAATCTTGTGTAATCGATCGTGATTCTATTGAGAATAAGACATAATTTCTATTTCTGGTTGACATATGAGTTATTCTTTCCACTTTGCTTGTCTGTGCCATGGAAGGCTACTTCACATTTATTGATAGTTACCTTCTTTAAGTGAAATATTATTTAGGTCTTCTGTCCCTCTTTGTCTCCTATCCGGGTCGTCAATTCTTATTTGTCTTCTATTCTTTTAAAGTTTTTTTTCTACATACTCATTTTCAACCATGCATTCAAACAATAAAATATTTTACACGTAAATTCAAAATTTTTCCTTAAATTTAATTACACGTTCTCCAACATTTCACTGTTCAAAACAATATTCTTCAAAAAAATGACAAACAATCAACCTAATCACTTGAGTTCTCTTTCTTTTATCAATGTCTGTGTTCGCTTTAGTCAAATCAGGAACTGATAGAAGGAAAAGTTGACACGGATTTAACAATCTATTAATCTATTTAGTTTATTATTTTAGGCTTTGTTTGTCTATAATTTTTCACATTTTATCACATTATTTTTTCTGTAATACTCATTTTCAACCACACATTTTTTATTAAAATAATATTACATATAAATAAAAAACTTTTCTTTCTTTTTTAACCATACATTTTAATATCAATCATTATTCCATAATACATTATTCACAAATAATGGGACACAAAAAAAGCACTTAATTTATTCTTAAAGTTCTCATAGTGAGATTTTGCTAAAAAAAAATTTAAATAAAAAAGAATGATAAAAAAGAAAAGAAAAATTTAACTATAAATTTTTTGGGTAAAATTGTCCAAATAGAAGTTTTTTCATGGTATCGAACAAAAGGAGTTTGCTGCCTATAAGGCTTCTTCAATATATTGAACAGGAAGGTAGTACTGGGCTGTAGTCCAGTGCTACCCAAGTCCATATCTAAAATAATGTAATAAATGGTCCATTAAAAATAGAAATTTAGTCATTTAGCCCACTATCAACCCACCAGTAGCCCAATTGTACAGACAATCCCAGCCCAATGTCACTCTAATTTTGAGAAATTTAGGCCCATACGTCCAAAACTTTGACTTTTTGTTTATTGTGTATGATGCGTATCCATATTTAATTTAATTTTGCGTGTTAAATTTTTTGTTATAGTGTTTCATATATGAGAATGCATAATTAAAAGAATATTGTCAATTAATTATCTCATATATATATATATATATATCACGTAGAGCGACTGTTGTAATAAGCAATTATGAATTACTCTAATTAAACTTTTTGTTATACATTCATTTATTTCTATTTTGAACTTTTTGCTCTACACTGCCTAATATTTTTAGCTAGTACTTTTGTGACCCTTCAATTCATCATCTTGAACGCTATTGATGGGATTTTCTTATTTTAGTTACTTTTTGGAACAAAATGGATAATAAACTTTCTTGTCAATTGTATGAAAATTTACATCGAACGAGAATTCACTATGAATTTTGATGTTGATTTATAGTAGATGATTTTATGATAAAAAATTTCGTCAAGTACAACTCTAGATAACGTTGTATTATGACTTCTTTTTTTTTTAATAAAAAACTTTTATGCTAGCTGAACTTTATTTATTAAGCCCCCTGTTTAACATTTATTAACTCAATTTTTTTTTAAATTCTTTTTTAACTACATATTCATATAATAAAATATATTGCGCATAAATGCATATTTTCTTTTCTACTTTTTAACCACATATTTTCTAAAAAATTACTATTACAAAACTCATTATCACATTAAAAAAAAAAAAACTCATTTTAGTAAATGTCAGAAAGGGGGCTAAATTACGAAATTGTTAGTTGTTTACTCATAGTTCAGGGACAAACTTAATTGGGGCTTCGGCAACATAGTTATGTAGAAACAGAGAATTGGAATAAATTATTTTTCCGTTGATTTTTAAATATAATCCATGTTCGTCACCCTTTTCGCGATATCTTTTCTTGTATTCATTTTTAATCATATATTTAGCTCTTGTTTGGACCTTATTTTGGGAGGAAAATGGATTTTTAAATAGTGTATTGATGGAAAATGTGTGGTTAAAAAATAAGGAAAAATTTTGAATTTACTTGTAATATTATTTTATTGAATAATGTGTGGTTAAAATGATATCAAAACACTGTTTAAGAATACATTTTTTTCCAAAAAATGGAACTCAAACAAGGGCTTACACAATAATATATTTTAAATATAAATATAAAACTTTTCCTTATGTTCTAATCACAAATTCTCAAAAAATCACTATTCAAAATATTATTTTCCCTAAAAATTCTCATAAAAAGGAGACAAATGGGAACTTATTTAACATGGGTAATTAGCACAAAAATGTTTTTACTTTTCAATGTTATTATGTAACACGTCCTTTTTTTTTAATTTTGTGGCATTTTTACCTTTATTTTCACATTTCATTGTGAAAATCATTATTTTCATTTGTTTTTTCCATAAAAATAAGTAAAATAATAAATATACACTCCTATTTAGATGAAAGACAAAAAAAAAAAGGAAAATTAAAGAACAAACTACAATCACACCCCTAAACTTTTTTAAAAAGTGCAAATGAGTATAAATAAAATATTAAAAGGTAATTAACAAAACGTCCCTATATTTCAATATTATAGTACAAAACATTCATACCTTTTAATTTTTGATATTTTCGCAATTATTCTCACATTTCATTTAGAAAATCATTATTTTGATCCACTTTCTGAATTAAAAGTTGAAAAATGACGAATATACTCTACTATTTAAATGAAACAAAAATAAAGAACAAATCGCAACTTTACCCCCAAATTTTTTAAAAAGTACAAATAAATTTCAAATAATAATTTTAAAATAAAAATTAAAACATCAAAAATCACTTTATTTTTTTAATTATTTATTGAAAATTTTGGGAGTATATGTGTAATCGTTCTTCAATTTTCTTTTCTTTATTTTTTTTGTTTTATTTGAAAAAAGAGGGTTTATGCATCATTTTACTGCTTTCAACTGAGAAAATGAATGAAAAAGATAATTTTCATAATGAAATGTGAAAATAAGGATAAAAATGACAAAAAAATGAAAAAGTATGGACATTTTACACAATAATATTGTAAGATAAGGGCGCTTTATGTTAATTACCCTTCTAATAATTGATTTGGACTCCTTTGTATTTTTTGAAAATGTTTAAGAACATGATTGCAATTTGTTCTTTAATTTATTATTATTTTTTTAAATAGGCGAGTATATTTGTCATTATATATATATATATATTGAGAAGTTGAATTAAAATGATGATTTTCGTAATAAAAATTGAAAGTAATGACGAAAATATCAAAAAATAAAAGATAAGAATATTTTGTATAATAACATTAAATTGTAAAGATGTTTTTGTGCTAATTATCCAAAGTTGCCAATGTTTGCCCTCTCCTCTCAGTCAAAGTAGTTCTTACCAAATTAAAACTGGGGCCCAAGTGTGTTGAGAGGGACAGAGAGTTGGTTAGGTTTCAGGTTCATGCATGTTTCCCACCTTTGGCCTTTTCCGTCCCATAAAAAAATCTGTTTTTTTTTTTTTTTAAATCAATGAAATAACTCCCAATAATTCCATAAAGGCTTTCATAGTTGTTAACGATTCTCTATAACATAAGTGAAGTTTCTAGAGAATCATTCAAGAGCATTTCATCTATTACAGGTTCTTGTCTTTATATTACTTCTTGAATTTTTTTTTTTAATATTCTCGATTTTTGATCTATTAATGCATTTTTTAAACCTACAGTTATGTGTTTTTGTTTATTTTTGAAGATGGGTTAGCCGAATTATTTGCATATGTGGCTGTGAATTGTCAAAATCGCATTTTTTTTTATCTTTTTGTTAGCCTGGAATATATATTTTCTTATGGGGTTTGAGTATTTTTTATCAGTTCAATTTAGTTGTGCAAAGTATTCCAATGGGCTTCTTTAATTATTCTACTGTAATGTTCTATTTTGTATTTGTATACTAGTTTTTGAGGAATATTTGTCGTTTATTCAAATTTAACAATTGTAAATGTTTACTCATGGGATCACAATTATTTATTTCTGAATCAATATATATTTTGGAAGTAATCTGCAGTCAACTTATTCTTGAAAGCATGCTTCATCTAAGAAAATTTAGAACGCGTTCTAGAAATAAAATGTGGTGATGCTTAGCTAATCTTAGAAGTTTAGTAATAAGAAATATATTTTAAAATAATAATTTTCCTGGAATGTACATATTTTGATAGAAAAAGATTTGGTTTCAAGTAAGTAACTTTTTAACTTAAGTAAGACAAAAGTAAATTATCCTAACTTGCTTAGAGATTGTTCAAATTGAAGCTGAATACATAGTAAAACCTTATTGTTTGTAAGTTTAGTTTTACTAATGTTTTACTAGATAAAAGTGCCTGAAATTTAGTGGTTACATTGTCTTTTACTATCATTTAAACCTATGCTAAGCAACGGCAGTTTTGTTGGGGCGTTGTGGGGGATAGTCGTCAAAAAAAAAAAAAAAAAAAAAAAAAAAAAAAAATTTTTTTTTAAAAATTTTTTTTAATATTAGTCTTGTAGTAGAACGAAGAAGGTAATGAAGTTTGTTAATGTTTGTAGAAATACGATTGTTTGCTTCTTGGATTGTCGTATCCTAAGTATATAGTGACTCGTGAAGTAAAAGTATTGGTGGTGCTAGAGATGTCGGGATTGTAGTCAAATAAATGATGGATAATAATAATGTTCCGTTAGATATCATTATGTAATCAGATTTTTAAACCCCACCTCCATGTTCTTTGCACTTTTCCACATTGGTTAACTGATGCTACCTGCCGTGACCAAATTTTTCTGCTGCACAACCTCAGACATACTTTATGCAGCCCATTTCACTTTGTGTCCTTACTTGTACTCTGTATTTCCCCTTTTTTTACCCCTGTTTCGTTTTTTTTTGGACAAAAAAAAAAATGTTTAGATCTAATATTCCCTTGCAGATATATTCTTCCATAAGTTGCAAAAACATGGATGTGCAGTATTCGTCCTACATATAGTTAATTGCATTGGAGAATATAATTAAGACTGCAGGATCATATATTTCAATAGGCCTTCAGGAAAACCTTCTCTGATGCAGCTTAATCTTAGTTATGGAGTTGAAAAGAAACTCACTGCTGAAGAAATCGAGCATGAATTTTGGCCATTGGATGAAATAGATCCAAAGAAAGCAAAGTTTCCTTGTTGCATTGTTTGGACACCTCTACCAGTAGTATCATGGTTGGTACCTTTCATCGGACATGTTGGCATATGTCGGGAGGACGGCACTGTTATAGATTTTTCAGGATCCAACCTTGTTAATTGTGATAATTTTGCATATGGTTCTGTTGCCAGATACCTTCAACTGGACCGAAAGCAGGTACATCTCATCTGAAATGACTCCTCTTAGCCGACTTTGCTGTTCTACTCTCTCTATTTGTGAATGGATTAAAAACTCTATCGGTTGTGCACAACTTATAGCGACATTCACTTTGGTCACTGATCTTTTATTCCCTTTTTTCTCTATGTTTAGGTATCACGTTCTACTAAATTAACGGAAATGCTGGCGAGACTAATGAAAATGATGATGTGGCATGGACGATCCACTATTGATTTTAGCGTCCAACTTGTCAAAAATGTATATTGTTGGATAAATTGTGCTTCTACAAAGAAAGGGAAAAAGTAGAAGTACGACTTGTCCAGCGAGAAGCCTTTTTGTCTAGTTGGATGATAAAAGTAATATCCCAAAAAATATATCATGCCACATCATCGTTTCTGTTAATTCCCTAGGAGTGCCCAAATGAAACAAAAATGAAAAGTTTTGGTGCCTAATATGAAATGACGCATATGTGACTAACAGTGATGTTAACCCATTTGAAAACGTTTATGAGCGGACGGGGTTGGGACTGGGGGAGGGGTTGCCTATGTTTGCATGGATAAACAAGAGATATCCTCAAAATAATCGTCTGTTCTTGTTATCCACGTCGAATGAGCATAAGTGTGTCATATTTTCATCTTAATGTGGTCATGTTTTCTTGAAGTAGAACTGGATAAATTTCATATTTTTATCAGTCCTACTGACAACGCTAATATACTTGGTACAAACAGTGCTGCTTTCCTTCAAACCTTAGTGGACATACATGCAAGCATCGCTACAAGCATGCTGATTTCGGCTCTGCAATCACCTGGGATGATGCCATTCGATCAACTATACATCACTTTGAGCCCAAGTCTTTCAATCTTTTCACATGCAACTGCCACTCTTTCATTGCGAATTGTCTGAACCAGCTTTGCTATGGCGGATCAATGACTTGGAACATGATTGATGTTTCTTCTCTTATACTATCTAAGGGGACATGGGTTGATGGCTTGTCTGTCTTAAGATCATTTTTGCCTTTCATGGTGGTTCTATGCTTGGGTGTCTTTATGGTTGGATGGCCATTTCTAATTGGATTATTTTCCTTTTCTCTTCTGCTTATTGGATGGTATTTGTTGGGAACTTACTGTTTTAAAAACCTGTTAGACTGTTAGATCCTTTTGCTCTTGTATGTCAGAGCAATGAGACTGACTAGAAGAATGAAGTTCTTTTAGGAATACAGGATTAGATTTACATCTATGAAGTTTTCAAATAGATATGTGATATGTAAAGTTTTTTTCCCCATTTGCGTTCGAACTTTCTTTTTGGTTAATAAGGGAGTGTACGGTAGAAATATTCCTACCCGTGGTGGCCCTGCTGGATTGCCATAAGGTGCTCACCACCGAATGTGCAGTAGTAAAGGCATCATATATTGGCGTTGTTGACTAGTTGTATCGTACCTAATGTCCTATGTGTTGGGAATCTACTTATATATGTACAGCGGAATTTAAAATAATTTTCGATTCCCACCAAGAATCGTCTTTGTGTTTAGATAGAAATTGTGATAAGATTGTACCTTTTTCCAGATCTGCGAACTTCTTTGCTATTTTTTTCGTTCAAACAATCTTGATTCGCCATTCACAGCTTTCCAATTGTCTAGCCTCCAACGGTAATCCACACAGAGAACAAGATTGCAGCTACCAGGGTTTTCTCTCTTGTGCCAGCAAGAATAATGAAAACCATATGGACCTCAAACCCTAGCCATGTATTTATATAAACACAAACGGGCTCGGTCCGGTCCGGTCCAATATTTAATTAAGCCAAATAATTAAACCCGGTCCGTGAATTAATTAATCCAATTAATTAATTCGGGAATATAAATAACAAATCAAATTAATTAATTTATCCAACGATTGTTAAATTAACCAATTGGCAATTTGCAATCTTCCAATTCTCTTATGTGTGCGACCCATTAGGTTCCCGACCACGATACCTAACGACGTGAAATATTATTTTGATCTAATCAAAATTGATAAATTAAAACACCCTTTTAATTTATCGTCAATTCACACTCGCCGTCCCTGATTGACATATAGCAATGTGTCAGGGCAATACATGTGACGAAAAATGTCACGTGGTATGACAAAATCAAATTCGTTCGTTTATCGTGAAACTATAATCCCTTCGTCAATATGATCCGATTAATTACGAGATATGAAATTGCGTCAATCTCGATCATCGATCATATCTTTCACTCCACTATTAAATCAATATAAGTCGAAAACTCATTTTCGACTTATGAGTACACCTTGGCCAAGGATTTCATCATCGATTTAATTGAATGAAACACAGATCATAATCTCCTACTATCTAAGAGTGACGAATCCTTTATTAATCAATCACAACCTTCATACGATTCTTAACGTACCCGAACGATGTCCTATTAGCGGCCCCTTTTCAGAGCAACATCCAACACCGCCAAATTATGACTGTCCTCATATAAGGAACCATGACGACCTCAAGTCAAAGGACCAATTCCACTACCGAATGTTAGAGATTAACCACTGACACTCAGATAGTTATCCATGTGGAATCTCTCGACGGGTCTCCAATATTTTGTTCTATAACAAAACATTTACGTGTTCATTTAAGTGTCACCACACTTTAGCTTGTGAGATCAGCTACTTACTTCACAAGTAAGAAATGCCACACGTGATGGTCGATCCGTAATAACGATATTCGTATCTCGTTATTACTTACGACCACTGACGATTTAAGATTCAATCAGATGTAATTTGTATCTCACAATCACAACTCCTTGTGATTAACAAATTACGAAGATTTAATTGTCTATTAATTAAATAATAGATCTGTCATTTTATTGCATTAATTATATATATAAAAGTATTTATGTCCAAAGTTGATTGGACCTAGGGCATAATATACTATGTGGCTACATGGATGAAAGGCTAGCCTGGGAGGCCTGCGCTTGGGTGTGGGTTACCTCTGGGTGCCGCATAGACAATTCGCTAAATGAGTGTAAATAAATAAATAAATGTTGTTTGTAATTGATATACATATTTATTTATTTATTACTGGCAACTGTTATTGCACTTTTTTTAAGGGCATATTCGGTAGTGATTATAAGAATTGCTTTTTGACCATTAGGGAGACAAATGGGGGTCACTTGTAAGTGAAGAAGTAAAAAATAACGGTTGGAATAGTTAAAAACAGGTCAAAAATCAATTTTATGGGAGTAAAAAAGCACTCTCAAACGGGGGCTAAGTTATGTAAATATTTTAAAATTGGTGATACTAACCCGCAACGGATAGTTGTTGAAGGCATTGATATCGTCGACAACTTCCAAATGAAAAAGGTCAATTGCAATATTTTTGTAATGACACCATGTTTTCAAGGATATAGACCAATCACAACTTCAATTTGTCCAAAATCTGGTCGCACCCCCTAGTTACGCCAATCAACTGCTGTAGAAAGACCATCCTCTGTCCCTAAAAATATGCGTCGTACAACCTATTGTTTCTTTGAGTGCCGTCGTTCGCTGCTTTATCATTCGTAATTTTCAGTCCAGTTATAAGTATAAACTCAAATATAGAGAAACTAGCGAACTTGTCCTCGAGGTTGAAGTGGAGGGTATTCCTGTTAACTAACCTAAGTAACTGACATAATATGTATCAATGATATGCTTGGACTGTTCCACCAATCTCAACTGATACAAAGACCACAAGAAGGAGTGGTGTAGCATATCTATGCGCTAATTATCAAGCAACTCCATTACAGTATTAAAACTGTCAAAGATACTGTTCTAAGTACATTTTCCTACCATCTGTCTCAACTCAGCATCAAGACAGGACTTCATTCTACAAAATTCAAATGTTAGGACCTTCTACAAGAAATAATGGAATAAAGCAAAGTCTTAGAAAATTAAGCATATCAAATTGTAACTACAATACACAAGAAATAAAATCATTTTAAAACAAACTAAATTAATAAAAAATTAAAATTAAATAAAGAATATTAAAAAGCATTATAAATTGAAAGAAAATTAAATTAGGATAAATAAGAAATTTTAAAAATTAAAGAAAAAAGAAATTAAATTAAATGAAAATGAATATCAAAATAAAAGAATAAAAATACAAGGTAAAATTATTTTAAAAATATAAAAATTAACAAAAGAATATAAAAAAAACATTTTAAATTGAAAAAATTAGATTATGATAAATAGAAAAAAATTAAGAAATTTAAAAAACTAAGGAAAAAAATTAATAAATTAAATTAAATATTAAAAGAGAAAAATAAAAATAAATTAAAGAAAGATTATAAAAATCATTTTAAATTGAAAAAAATAAATAAATAATGATAAACAGAAAACAATTAAGAAATTTTAACAAATTAAGAAAAAAAATTATATTAAATATAAATTAAAGACCAAAATAAAAAAGGAAAGATGAATTAAAAAATTATAAAAATATTAAAATTAAAGCAACAATATTAAAAAGTATTTTAAATCGGAAAAAAATTAAGAAATTTAAAAAAGTTAAATTAAATAAAAATCAAATACCAAAATAAAAAATTAATTTAAATTAAAGCAAATTATAAAAATATAAAAAATTGAAGGAAGAATATTAAAAAGTATTTCAAATTGGAAAGAAATATAATAAGAAGAAAATAATTAAGAAATTTTAAAATTATTACCAAAATTAATAATAATAAATTAAACAAAAGAAAACTATGAGAATTAAATAAGGAATATAAATATTATTTAAAATAGAAAAATATAAATTATAATAAAGAGGAAAGAATTAATTAAACAATGAAAAAATTAAGAAAAAATCGGCCAAAAAAAATTGGGCCTATCGTCAACGGTGGGCCCAAAACAGTCTGTTGGGCCGATTGTTAAACAGTCAAGAGCAATGGCAACTGTTTATAATCGTCATTGACTTCTCTTTCACCATTCACTATAAAAAAAAAATGGCGTAGATTTTCAATGATCTCCACCCTAAAAATAGCCAATACTAATAAAACTAACCGTAAAGAATCGCAAAAATCCACATAAGAATACTGAACAATAAACTAAATAAATGTTAAATTTAATCTAAACCATATTTCATCAATATCATAGTCGTTGATGACTAGGTTGTGTGGTGGTCGACATTGGGTTGACTACGAGATTGGCGTGATCGATTGGATCCCGGCTGTGTGAGAGGTTTTCTTTTTCTTCTCCTTTGTTTACACAAGATGAAGGGTATTTTTGGCTTTTTGATCTTTAACTTCTATTTTTTATTTTTTAATGGTCAAAGGCCATGATACAAATATGTTTCCATGTATTTCCTTCTTAGTTTAGTCACCTCTACTGGACCGAAAGCAAGTACATTCGAAATTACTACTTTTAGTTGACTTCTATGTTGTTTTCTTAGAAATTGTTGTTTGTACAGTCCATGTAGGGCTGTACGTTTACAGCTCTCTCTCATTAGTGTGGTCCGCAATTATTTTAATTATGGACCCCACGTCTTACATGTGAGTGTGATGTGAACCATGCTGTAAATTATGTTGTACTCATAGCACATCTGTATTCTCTTTCTTCATTTGTAAATAGATTAAAAAAAATTTGTAATCATGCGCAATTGACAACATCATTCACTTTAGTACTACAACTTATATTCCCTTTTTTTTAAGTAGCTGTGCTTGCTGTACACTCTTGTGTACAGCAAGACACACAACCCCTTCACATGAGGGGACCCACAATCATTGTGGGCCCCCTTCATGTGAGGGGCTTGTAAGGTTTTACAGCCCTTAGGATTGTACAACCAGTTTTTTCCTTTTTTAAGTTTAGGTACTCCGTCTACTAAATTAATGGAAATGATGATGTGGAATGGAAGATCCACTATCAAATTATTTGTTGTGTCCAACTTGTCAACAATATACATTGTTGAATAAGTTGTGTGGACGCCGCGGCTTTGTTTTGGTGGCTCTGCAGCGCCACCTTTGGGGTGAAAAATTCTAATTGCACATTTTTCAGTATTCTTATCATAACTTTTTATTCTGGTGTCCGATTGAGGCGATTTAAGATACGTTAAAAAGCTAATTTAAAGGGCTACAATTTGCTTAAGACATCATTTTCAAATTTGATCATTTTCTATGTCAAAAATGAGTCTTAATTTAAGGCTGAAAACGGTGCATAACTTTTTTCGGTTGGAAATTGATTTGTAATCATTCTTTGATTATGTTTAATCTCTTTAACGTCTTTCTTTATCCAATTGACTCTAAACACTCTTGAATCTTCGCCGTGAGGTCCGACATAACTTTTTAGTATTTATATTTTGGTCCTCAAACTTTGGATCTTGTTTTTCTTCTGGGTTTATTTACCATCATTGAATTTTACCTATTTAATACCAAATGTAACATTTTAGACCATAATTCATCCAAGAAACAACTAAACATCATCATTGTAAGGCCTAAGAAAGAATATAAAGATATTGTGTTTACAATATTGTCTTACTTGTTCTAATTATAAAGAAGTGTCTACTATATATGGAAGCAATGTCAAAAACCCTAATACAAGCCCTAAAGACGGAAAGAATATCAAAAATTGCATGAAATAAAGAAAACGATCTTTAGCCAGACAAGCACAGCACTCGAGTGCCAGGCTCATGATAAGAGACAGCCGGGTGAGTCGCTCTAACGTCGGGCAAGCAGTAGGCGAGCAATAGCTCTTTGCTGAAAATTTTGTCCCCGTCACTCGAGTAGTAAGCCAGTGGCATTGTGACTTTTTTTCTTCTTTGATATATATTTTGACCTCTTTCAAACCCAATTCAACAAATTCACAAATACCCAACCAAATTTGGATCAAACTTTAACAAATCTCCACCTCAAATTAAATTTCATGCAATGAATCAATCTTTAATAAAATTATATACCTGGAAACAAATTCCATTACAAGGCAAAAACTGAACTCTTTAACAAGAACTTCAACCAATTCTCCTACGAACAAAATTCTCCACGTTTTCCACAAAATCGAACTACGACAAATGAATCCAAACACTGCTCAACAAGATTATCTCAAGTTCTCAAAATTTGCTCATATTATAAACACGATTAACAAAATCCCTGAATAAATTAACAATCACAAACTGGACAAAACTATGCCCTAAAATAGAATCAACACCACAAAATATTTCTTTGCTAGACTCAACATCTTCAACCACACTTAAAGCATACGCAACTAAATTAGGTTCCTTGTACTTATGTGGAGGCCTAATATTTCTTATAGGTCTGTCTTTAGCAATTGAATACGATGGCATCACTGGTGGTGGTGGCAAAACGCTATTACCCATAACCTCTAAACTCGACTGAGATGTATTCTTCAACATGATCCTAAACCAAAATCCAATTGTACTGTACCCAACCGAATATCTACCAAAGTACTAAACCTCTAGTAATTGATCTTCAAAGATTTTGCATAACCTTATAAGACATACGACCTTGCAAGACACACAACATGGGCACTTTTACAAGACATACAACCTTCGAAGATCAATGAACTTGTGCCCTTTTAAATCAAGAGTAGTCAAGGAGATAAGATTTCTCTTCAAATCTGGAACGTGTCTCACTCCATTAAGTGTTCTAACCGTCCCATCCAACTTCTAAAGTCTGACCCTTCCAATACCAACTACCTTAAAGGATGCATTATTACCCATTACGACAACACCATTCGAAACTGATTCATATGTTGTAAACGAATCCCAATTAGGACACATATGAAAAGTGTAAACTATATCAAGAATTAAATCCTCTTCAGATTTTGAGTCGTCGTCAAAAATAATAAAAAGTTCTCCATTACTTAAACAGATCTCTGTAACATTGGCTTCTCCTAAAATTTCTGATTGCCTTCCCTTCTGATTTGCTGCAAACTCCTCTTTATTTTACAACTAATAGCAATCCTTCTTAATATACCATTTCTTCTTGCAACAGTTACAAACTTAATTATTGAAGTTAAACTTCGATTTGCTCATTCCATAACTAGCGTCGACAATAAGGCCATCTCCATAAACATCAAATCCAATAAGATGTTTCATCTTCTCTTTTCAAAACAAATCATCATAAACTTTTTCAATGGTAAGAGTATCACGACTAATAATATCATATCTCTAAAAAACATATAGAAGTGAGCAACGAACACAACAAAATCAACTCCAAATCCTCTTCATCATACTTAATGGGGAACATAGCCTTAGCCTCTCTCTGTTTTTTTTTTTTTTTAGGTGCTTTGTTCCATTAAGTAAGTTGAAAGGTTGATTAGTTGTTATTTCATTGTATAATACGGAATATAGCTCCAGCCTCTTCTTTGTAGGTGCTTTGTTCACCAGAGTAGCAGAAGATACCGTATCTCATCAAGGAAGTCAAAAGGTTGAGTAGCTGTTATTTCATTGGATAGCGCTAACCTCTTTTTTGCAAGTACTTTGTTCATCAGAGTAGTAGAAGCCACCTTGTCCTGTCAAGGAAGTCAAAAGATTGAGTAGTTATTATTTTATTGTACAATAGGGAAGATAGCGTCAACCACTATTTTTGTAGGGACTTTGTTCATTAGAGTAACAGAAGCTACCTTGTCCCGTCAGGGAAGTCGAAAGGTTGAGTAGTTTTTCTTTCCAATATGAATCCGTATCTCATCAACACAAAAGCATAAATTAAGGAAGTACAAATCCAAATGGGAAAGGAAACTTTATCATATGTCCATTTGAGAAATTTCTAGGTGTACAGCTAATATAAGATGAGATTTATATTACTAAAAGGTCTCTACTTCTTCAAGCCTGTCCCATAGTTTTGACATAGTCATGAGAATTTGAATGTAATAGGATTTTAAAACAGTAAGTTCTCGACAAAAACCATCCAATAAGTAAAAGTGAAAAGGAAGCATAGCACCACTATGAATGCAAAAATGGTCTTAAGATAGAACAGCCTTCAAACCATGTACCCTTAAATAGTATAAGAGCTGCAATGTTGATCGTGTTCTAACTCATTGATCCGTCAAAGCAAAATCGGCTCAAGCAGTTCACAACTAACAAATGGCAGTTGCATGTGAAAACATTGTGTGGTTTGTGCTCGAAATGATGTATAGTCAACTGGACGGCATCGTTCCAGGTGATTGCATACCCATACTCAGCGTTGTAGCGATAATTGCATGTATGTCCAGCGAAGTTTGGGGGAAAGCAGCACGAGTATACCTAGATGAAGCAAATGGATGGAGTGAGTCGTCAGGATAATTTGCACAAAGAATGATTGACTTGAGGGCCCCAATGCCAAAAGTGAAATAATAGAGATAATTTAAGCATGAAGGGAAGAAACCCAAAAAAAAAAAAAGAAAAAAAGGACGTTTTGATCCTATTATCCAACATAAAACCTACGAACAATTTCTCTATCACCGCATTTAGGTCTGTGGAGAGTAGAAGATGTTAGAAGATTGACAACTTGTTAAATTAAACAAGAAATCAAAATCAAATAATAAAATTTTCAAATTCTATTTAGTTGAAGCACATTCATGTTTGGATGAGCAAGGGAACTTTTTTCCTTAATTTAGAAAATAGCGTGTTGCTACTGGCTAGCGTAAAAGTTTGACTTGATTTGTCGATGTTGAACGTGTATTGAGCACCACAACTTGCCCAGACTCAATTTCTACCAACTTCTAACACCACAAGCCGACAACAACGACTCAAGACAATAACCAAACTTCCACTCCCGATTGCCAATGAGATAGTTCACTTAGGAATCACAAAGATGCAAAAAGAGTAGAAGAGGAATCACGCAGAGACCGACCGAATAGAGAGGCAGAGAAGACATCTCTCACTTAGAGAGAAAAGAGAGATTTATCTTGTAATAATGGCCCAAATAAGGTAAGTATACGTAGGTTAACAAATGGGTCAAAGTAGAGGCCTAATAGATAGGTAAATGGGCTCACAAGTAATCCCTCTAAATTATGGCCATCCAAGGAAGCGGATTGGTCACGAGCAACACTAAAATATTTAGATTACTTCGAATGACCCAATTAACCTTTGAGTCATGTCGTCTTGATTGTGGTGTTAAATTCTCATTCAGTCATTTGGCTAAGTCGACTGAGAAATAAACCGAGTAACATTATAGCCCGAAATTTATTGGATACCAAAAACCCAACAGTCGACAAAGGACAAGATTGAAGGTTATCAATGCATCGAGAAAGTTTCTTTATGGGCAGCAAACTCCATTTTCATTTTTCGTTATCTTAGTTGAATGCCATTGTGCTTTCGTGGACGTTCGTCTCCATAAGAGCAAGTGACTAACATAAACGGGTCTTCAAACCTACAAATAGAGAGAGAAAAAAAATGTCTTTCTTTGTTTAATTAAAACATTGGCAATTCTTTCTAGAAATAGGTAGCTATTTCTAGAGAAAAAGCTTTCCCTAGCAATCTAGTCCCATATGCTAGGGTGTCAAATAGGAGAAAGTCTAGCTAACGAAAGAGAATAGATTAATGCAAAGACTCCGAGGACCAGAGAAAGTATTACTTTCAATACACAAGCGGGAAAGACAAAGGGCAACCCCTGACCTACATATAGCCAGTAACAAGAGTGACTTTTCACCTGAAAGCAATGGAAGACACTAATTAAAAACAGGATAGGGAAGAAAATGAAGCATTTCATGATTGATAATATTTTGAATATTGCTCGGGTGAATTGGATGAATTCTGCAAAAAGGAAGAGTGAGATATCGCACATCCAATTGAAACAAAATTAGGGAAAATCAGTTGTCAGGAACAGTTACCTTGTTATAGATATAAATAACATCGCTTCAGATAAATAATAAATTCCATGAGCTACTACTTCGGAGATCTTGAAGCTGTGAAAATGATTGGTTCTCCTTTTCAGAAGAGCCCAAGCTGACTAAAATCATCAATTTGCTAGCTTTCTCTAGTAGGTAATGACTTCGTTTACTCAAGGCTATTCTAGAGCAACGTTTCAATAAATTAAAAAATAAAAAGATTCAAATGAAGATATTTTGATTTGGACTTCCAAATTGTTGGAAATATATGATCCCACGTTGCTTCGTTGCTTTGAGTGAATCTGCGTCAGCAACCCTCTTTTGTTTAGCAATCAAAGACGTCGTAATCTGGTTTCAATTTTCTACGAGCTTATTCTTGTAGTATATTTACAGTTTTCACCAAATGTCTCTTCTAAACAAGCATAGAAATAGCTTAGACCAGAATCAACAAAGTTCATTAATCTTTAGGAAATTAAAACCAAAACTTAGATTTAACCTGCTTGAGGTATTAAAACAATTTACATCTTCATATGTGCAAAGCCACAAAGAATTATTTGACAAAACTAAATACCAGGGATATTACAAATATACACATATTACAAAGATCCCAAGAAATAATGCATGTTTGACACCAGTACTAAACAATACCATTCCTGCCTTAATTTTGTCCTATCCAACCGGCAAAATTACCATTTGACTGTATAGCATTGTAAAATAGACAATATTTTAACTTCGTTCAGCGCACCAAACATACCAAAACTATACAAAAGCGGATTGACTTGTCACACTGGTATTTTTTAAGTGCACATACTTCACTATATACAACATTTGAACATCAACCTGGTGATACTCAAGGTATACCAGGTTCCCCACAAAATGCATCAGGCTCAAAAGATCTTGCAGATTCATCATTGTAAACACCAGGTACAGACCTACCACCAGGTTCTTGAGATACTATGTAAGCATCCTTTTGGCTGCTCTCAGAATTGACAAGGAGAACAACACATATAATCAACGATGTTCCAAGGACCAAAAGGGTGTTCTTTAATCTAGTGAGCACTGGCTTTACCTGTATAAAAGCATAATAGTGAACACTAAACCAGAAAGGACCTTAATGACTGTTACTCTGTTGGAATGGAAGATTAAATGACGGTTTAAGAAAACACAACAAACTAAGCCTTGTTTGGCTGTTCCCAATAAATTTGTGTCAGTTTCGGTTTTAGCTCCCTGCTAGGTATAGGGTTATGATGAGCAAAATATTAATAAAATGACTGTTCGAAATCAAATGGATGAAAATGATGAGCAAAATATTAATGAAGAAATATTTTTTAAATGTAAATCTGCATTTTCTCGGTTAATTATAAATAATTCAAAAATCAAGAACAAAATATTCAATTTGTAAATATTTTGATTGTGTCTCCCTAACTAAGAATCTCTGCGTCCACCCCTGACTGTTAGAATGGAAAATTAAATGACGGTTTAAGAAAACACAACAAACTAAGCCTTGTTTGGCTATTCCCAATAAATTTGTGTCAGTTTCGGTTTTAGCTCCCTGCTAGGTACAGGGTTTATGATTCACTAGAAGATATTGTTATGAAAATGAGCTTCTTCTGGGCTATGCAAAACGTCTCAACTACCTTCGCCGTTCATCTCTTAACTTATCTTCATCCGGCGCACCTCTACTTGTTAAGGGTTCAAGAAAAAATACATAATATACGATGAGGTATTAGAATAATGAGAGAGAGAAAAATAATGAAGCCGTAGCTTTCTTCCAAGTTAAACGCTTGTATTGTTAGCTAGGGATGTCAAATGAGCCGAGCAGCCAATTGGGTCGACCGCTTGGCTCTTAAAACACTGGCTCGTGGGCGGCTTGCCCACAAGGGAGCTCATGAGCCTGGCTAGTGGGTGGACCAAAACGGTCACTTTTTTGGTCACTGTATATAAGTTCAGTGACCATTTGCGTACAGTTAGTCACTGAACATATAAAAGTGCCATTTTGGCCATTTTGTTTTTTATTATTTTTTCTTCTTTTTTTACTCTATAAATATCCCAATGGCCAGTTTATTTTTTATCTTTACTCTATAAATACCTCGACCCATTTTCAAATTTTTTCACGCACAAACAACAATTTTTACTCTCCTCTACATTCTACAATCTATTATATTCATTTCTACCTTCAATTTCAATTATTCAATATCACTTATCCCACTACAAATTTACAATTACAATCTTACACATAAACTTTCTTTGAATTCTTGATTTCTTTCCACACTCTTTCTTTACTTAATAGTTACTATACAATCTATACTATACAAATTACAATACACATTTTATACATTTCATCACAATTCACAAATGGATCCACATTCATTTATTGAAGGCTTGTTCAGTATTAGAAGCGAATTACCTATGAAGCCGCAAAGTCAATTTCAGAATGAATTTGTAGGTTTCAAGGAAGTATCCATTCCCAAAAATATTCCAGATTTAGATGCTCATGGAAGTAGTAATCCAATTTATTTGGATGAAGTTTGTTGACCCTAAAAAATGTACCTCCAACGTGGTCAACAGATCCCAAAACCTCTCATGTCCACGTAAGCAATATTCCTACAAACTAGGACAAACCGTTATCCACATGTGGCCTTCTCTGGTGAGGGTGGAGCCGGCCGCACGCACTTCAACAATCAAGTTAGTTTGGAAAGAAATATATGAGTGTGAGAGGGTTTTTAACACGAGCCTCCAATGTATAAAAGGGGGTCAGTATTGGGGGTAAAATAAAGAATGTAGAGAGCATAGTTATAGCATCAAAGTCTAAACTTACATTACCTTTGAATGGCATTAAGTGTGAGCTTTTATAGTGCGAGGTAATGAGTGTGGACCGTCGGATGATAAGACACGTGGCCTCATCCATGTGGGTATAAATTCCCATCATGGGCATCAATCAATCACAACGTATTAATGCTAAATATCAACTCTCCTTCCATAAGTTGTAGCTCGTGACAACAGATTTGACTAAATAGGCTGGCTGTGGCGGCGGTGGTTGGGAGTTGTCACATCCATCATTTCAATATATTTGATTTTGGAGAGTCCTCTGCCAAAGAACCTAGCCCCTCTTTCTTGAGGGGCTCGGTCTCATGAATTCGGCCACAGGCCCACAACATGGGTTTGGCTATAATATGGGCTCGTCCCGATGGTTCGACGATTGGTCCGCACATGTAGATTTTGTACATGTGGGATTCCTACGTGGGACCTGTCTATGGCCTCTGTTGGAGAAGGTATAACGTTGATATTCCCGAAGCAGAACAGAAGGAATTAGATATTTTCCATGCAAGAGGAAAGTGAAAGGGAAAAACGGACAAAATGTTGGGATTGTGGTTAATGGAGTCGAAGAGTCTAAAGCAATAAAATGTAAATACTATCAACAACAATTGGCATGGCAAAAGGGCATTGGTACCATCCACCTCAATCGTCACCATAAAGCATGTGCGGCTAAACATGAGCTTCTTGGTGCTTCTCAAATGCAGCTGCAATTTGATAGTGTAACCACCAATTCTGCTCCTACAACACTTTGCAAGTGGATGCATTCGGAGGAGAAAGCTTGAACAGGAAGGGCGAAGTTCGTTGCCGGTGCCGAGTTGCCTCTAACAATAGCAGACAACCAATATTTCGTCTTCTATGTGAAAGAATATCTTCAATCGAGATATGTTGGAATAAATAGAAACACTTTTCATTTTGATACAATAGAATATTTCCTTAATACAAAAAAATAATTGATTATTGATTTGAGAAAATTTGGGGGTGTTATATCTTTAGCTTCAGATTTATGAGAAGTGATGAATAAAGAGGTTATATAGCTACAACTGCACACTACATAAACCAACTTTGGTGTATGCATAAAAAATTATTGCTTTTAAATTTATTGAGTTCCCTCACAACGCTACCAATATATTTAACGCTATATGAGCATTATTAGAGAATACCATTGGGAGATAAAAATTCTTTCTTTTACATTTGACAACACTAGTATTAATAAGCTAGTTGTCGATAAATTGTGTAGGGTACTGCAGCCCGATTTTGGTGATTATTTATTTCATTTTTGTTGTGTGTCATTTTTAATTTAATTGTGTAGGATGGTTTGAAACATATTAAGATTGAAATTCAAAGAATTGGGATGCATTAATATATATCACGATTTCATCTAGTAGAAAACAAGCCTTTCATCAATTTTGTGCTGAATTTGGGATGACGAAGACAAAAATATTTGTTAGTAACGTAAGACATAGAGAGAACTCCACTTATTATTAAAATCAAGCAAATGATTTGAACATTTAATAACTGAATTTTATAGCAGTAGATATATTAGAAATGATGACGACACTATTTTGAATGAACCTAATAGGCTTGTAGCTTTTAAAATTAAAAAAGTTTTGACAAATTTTTATGACTTTACAAACATTTTATCTGGAATATACTATCCCACTAACTATATGATGCTTGAAAGGCTTTATATAGAGGGTGTTTGTGGGGATTAAAATTAAATTATTTTTAGTAGATTGTGATAGAAGTTTTTGAGATGTGTGGTTGAAAAGTTGTGGGAACCATGAAAGATGTGATTAATATTGATTGTTTGATTTTGACTCAGGTTAAAATCGAATTTTAATCCAAACCAAACATGCTGATAATTGCAAGGGCATTTTATAAATACAAAAATGATCCCGAATTTAGTGAAATTATATATTTTATGGAACTAAAGTTTAGAAAATATTACTTTAAAAAATATTGGGAAGACTTGTCTATATTATTTACTTTAGTATGCATTATGGATCTTGATACAATTTATCAAGTACTAAAGCCCCGTTTGGTAGCCATTTTTTTCAAAATGCATTTTTCTCTCTCTTCTTTTCAACCAGACATTTGTTATTAAAATAATATTATACGCAAATCAAAAACTTTTCCTTATTTTTCAACCACACATTACACATCAATTTACTATTCTAAAATGCATTTTTACATAAACATGACTATCAAACACCCCCTAAGTACGTAATCGATCAGATTTCAAAAGCTTTAACTTTTAATACACCTATCACTTGTAGAAATTTAGAATTTTATGTGAAATGTATGAATTTATATGCAGAATGAATGAGTGCAAATATTAGTCGAATGTCCTCTGCACCTAATAATCATGCTGATATCGAAGAAGACGACACTTAAATATTAAATTTATTTGAAGGTATTAATACGTATAAATATGATGCAATAGGTGCTTCTAGCAGTAGTGTATCTTCACATATAATCAAATTCGGACACAAGTCCAAATGCATTGCCTGCCGAATTACTTAATTACTTTAATCATAATATGCCTAAGAATAAATCAATTAAAAAAGTTCAAAAGAAATAATTGAATTCTGATAAAAGTACGAACAATGATAGCCAGTGATTTCTGCGATTGCAAAAGACCTACTAACACATCCAATTAGCACTGTAGTTTTGGAGTCTGCTTTTAATGCAAATAAGAGGATTCTATCCAAAATCAAGAGCTAACTGAAATAAAATATTTAGGAAGCAATAATGTGCATGAAGAATTGGTAAGACGCTCATTCTCAACTGCAAGATAAATATGACTAAATTACATGTCGTGTGCGATATTTAATTTAACCATATTAATACAATTTATTATTTTATAATACTTATTTTTTTTTTTTTAAAGTGTACACTTAACAAATTGTTTGTATACAATTTTTAACTTTGTCTACTCGAAATTTAAGTAGTTGGTCTCAAACCCAAATAAATGAAGACGGTTTTATCAATTAAAAAAATACAAACTCATGAGCCGAGCTTGGTCCTTGAGGCTCGGCCCTTAGGCAATAGCCGGCTCGGCCCATAGCCACCTCTATTGCTAGAAGAGTCAAATATTTTGTCGCCATTCAACACATGCAATAAACCATATATTCTTCAAGCTGAGGTTCATGATTTTTAATATGCGGTTTGTGTACATGTCTTCCCTCTTAATTATGTGCGCAAGACACAATTTCAAGTCCCCCTTCCTTCTTGTGGAATTCAAAAACCTACTTTGATTTCCGACTAAGAAACAAAGAAAATAATATGACGATGAAATTTCAATAATTTTGAAAGTATAATATAAAAGGGGACTGATCCTCCTACCAAGATATTTGACAAGCAATCACAACCTTTACATTAAGTCATTATCTAATCTAATGGTCTATGTCTATTTTATTAAAACCCTTTAAAATCTCAAAATGGACCAACCCAAACCCCATGCCACCCACCCCAACCTAAATAAATATACTGGTTAAGTTTTGTGGCTGAACTAACAATCTCATAATCAATCTTAAGCCAGTCATATTAGTAAGTCAAACCATTGCAAAACGGTGAATTCGAACAATTATTAGTAAAAAAATAAAATGAAAATTAAATAGAAGTTGGAGTTTGACTGAATAGGGGTTTGGATTTATCACCTGGCATTTTACCAAGTGGAGAAATTTCCTGGTAGCAAAGCGTGAATTTGAGCATTTCAATTCTCAGTTGTTTATGGTTCGATTGGTGTTAGGTGGGGCCCATTTTGAGATTTAAAAGGGTTTTACAAAAATAAATTCAGACCTTTAGATTAGTTTGAGTTAATGGTAGTGATTATTTGTCAAGTACCTTCGTAGGAGGAACGGTACCACTATAAAAAATGATTATTTTAAAATTCAAGGAGTTCATTATTTTGCTTCAGGCCCTTGTCCTGGAAGCTATTCAAGAGGATATTGGCTTGAGTAACCATACAGCATCAACAAATATTCAATGATCACAGACACAGGATTTGAAGCACAAACTATATTCATTCAAGATTAATCTTCAACTATGTATAGCCCGTAGGGTATTGAATTACTTACAGAAAATGAACCTAACAGCCGATCACGAGCCAAAACTTCTGCAGTCTTCACCCATATCTGTCGATAAAAGTTCGAGTCAAGCCTCAATAATTTATATCAGTCTTTGTGAAAATTGAAATGGCCATTTAACTGTCAATAGATAAAATTTTCATTCAGACTTGGTCTCATTTTTAAACAATTTCATGAAATTCAATAGTTCTACATAATTGATACTTGTATAACTCTCTTCACCAGGGATTTTCTTATAGCTACAGGATGCAAATGTAAAATTGGATCACAAGCATATACAGAGATATTAGAAATCAGCAAAACACAAAAATTTTGAGAAAACTTAAATCATCCAAATAATTTTTTTATTCTACAATGAATATTGGCCCTCACCACCGATTAGACTTCTTTGGGACATATACCACATGCTAGTGCATTGAAAATACACAGCTATTAAAAAATACTCAAGAATTTTTTTTCAATAACTAACATATAATAACTTCCATCTGCATATAAATCTTAGAACAGTATACTGTTCACATTTTTGAATTTTTAATATTGCTTATTTTAGCCTCATATGACTTTGTGATCAAGCATTTCTAATTTTCCAGTAATTAACAAGGTAATTCAGAACGTGTAACTTTTACAGAGCTTAATAAAAGATTTGTAAAATATGTATATAATAAATAACAACGTGCATTCAAACAAATGTATAGGCCAATTAACTTCCATTAATTTAATCAGGCACGTGCATGGCAAAAATCACACGAGTAGACATACTCTCGCAGGTTGTCATCCATTCACACAGCCATTCAAAATCCTTAGACGTAAACAACCACCGAGCATCAGCAACTTAGAGAAAAGCTTGCAATTTTCTATTTCCCATATAAAAGAAGTCTTCAACTCTCTAGTGCGAGGAACTCTAGCTAACAGCTAATGAGCTCAGCTCTAACTCCTAGCTCTTGGAGATTGTTTCCCCCCAGCCCCATCGGGAGGAACTCTTATCTATATGGAAATGTACGGCCCTCACACTATTCCTTAGAAAGGAATATTGGGCCTGGAACTCGTTTCTTCCTTTAGTCCAGTATCGTTCATTCAAGGATTTAGGAATTCTATTTTGTAGTACCAACTTTCTACAAAGTATAATAGGAGTTGTAGCTCTTAGCTGCTTGTCCCTCAGAACCTACATCCATAGGATAGGTTCCTTTGCTTTAGCTGAAGAGCTAACAGAGGGCCTTAAACAAACATTCATGTTTTGGACATGGTTTCCTGATTCCTAAGACACCCTCACAGGCTTCTGTAAAGTTAAACACATTCTTGATTTACATATTAAAGGTCAGTACCTCAAAAGTTAGCGGTTGAAGTTGGAGAGCCCAAAGCCTATATCAAACATGCAAAGGAAGTCCATACTTTTGATGTGGAATTCAAACCCCCCATAAGTTCCGCCAGAACCAAGACACATTCTTAGCAGGTTTTCACATATATCAATTCAGTTTAATTTTTTTTCCACTAACAGCATTAACATCTAAAACAGTTTATTTTTAAATAACATGGATCGCATATTCAGTGTCATTTTCACCTGTAAAACCAAAACAGTCATATTATAAATGATTTAACTGAAAGATTAATGCCCACTATGCAATGAAAATATGCTGGAAAACAGAAAATTGGAAAATACCTGGCCATCATACCAGCCTGTCTCTTCATCTGTCACCACGTCATAAAATACTCCATCAATCTCAAAAGTACAAAATAAAAAACAGAAACTTCTATAGCAAAACAACCCAAAAGATAGAAAATAATGCAAGATTACATTCAACAGTGGCACTGAGCAATCTATTTCCCACATAAGCCCAACCCAGATACATCCTCACAACAGCAAGAGTAACAACAAAAAACCCACTTGAAGCAGCTCCAAATACCAATCTCAGAGGCTCGGATTTGGGGCCAACTGACCCGAACCAAGAAACGGGTAGGCCCACTAAGAGTGCAAAAGATGCCCCAGTGACAAAAAGCCGTGCACAATACTCAACAAGACTACCAGATGCCCATGAGAAAGGGAATGAATTGGAAAGGGCCTGGTATTCATTGATGGGCTGCTGATCCAGTGGCACTGGGCACTCTGTTTCTGATGGGATACCATTGTTATTTCTGAATGATGAGAAGGATATTTGAGGGGGAAATCTGTGGTTATGAGCTTTGGGATCGGCGGATGAAGGCCGAATTGGGTGGTGGCGAGTCGTTGTGGAGGGAAAGGAAGGTGGTTTTAGTGAGAGAAAGAAAGCGGTGGCCATATTTTATTCATTTTTTTCCTTTCCTTTCATATTGGGATTGAAATATCTTATCATAACTGTTCAAAACTACAAAATGGATTTCGAAGTACAGGCTGATTTGATGAGTTTCTGATAGGTTAATTGTAGATTTATCGTATTTATATTAGAATATGAATTTTAATTTTTTGAAATGTTTTTAAAGTAATATTTAGAAATATTTTCATGATATAAAAAAATAATTGTAAATTATTTTTACAATTGCATAACAGTATTGTATCATTTAGAAAAAAATATACTTGTATATCCCATACTTAAATAAGAAATATATGAAGTTAAACAAACTACTTTGCATGTATGCTTTGACAGTGTTGATATGATTGAGTTGAGTGTGAAGATTATATTTCTAAATTTTATGTAATTCAATATTGAAAAATTGAAGATTGAGCACAAAGTTATAAATCGACTTTCATATTCATATGCGTTTATATTTTGTGTTTCATATATTTTAATATTTATTTTCTGCTTATGTTGAAAAAATAAAAATTTGGAATTTTTTTTTACATTCATTTTGGTAAGTGAATGTACGGTGTTCTGCATTCTCAGTATTTATACATCTGAGAAAAGTAGAGAAAGCGGAGAGGGAAAAAAGAAGAAGAAATTACCAATAAAAAAAGAATCATCTCTTCGCACATTGCGAAAAAAGTTGATCTCTCCGCAAGTAAAGATAATATTTCCACTTTGGGTGAACTAAAACTTTTTTTGGGAACAAGCTTTTTACCATGCCCTACTATCTATCGACTAAAAAAATTAACCTACTAATGCATATTATCTTTCACATTGAGAATTTATATGAATAAATTAGAATTTTGGTGCAGGATTGTTACATATATGAGATTACAATGAAATTAGATTTAGAGCTTGACGAGAGTTTTTGTATCCTGTATACATTATTTTCTCATTTAAATGTGAATATTATATTTCTAAATTTTGTATAATTCAATATTGAAAAATTGAAGACTGAGTACAAAGTTATAAATCGACTTGCATAAATACTGTAGGCAGTATATACGAAAAACTGTAAATACGGTAGGCAGCATATACGGATTTATAATTTGTTATAAATGTATAAAAATTATTTAATATTGAATTTCTTAAGTATGTTGTAATTCAATATTGTTTTCTTTTTATATAATTGTATTTCCGGAAATTTAAAAAAAAATGGTGGTTATGAAATTGCTAATTTTTTTTCAAGTGACTTTCCCATTTTAAAGCCATCCTAACAAATGAAAAGCATTGCTCACTAAATAAAGTAGATTAAATAAGGAAAATAGTAAACACGTTCATTATAATCTGTATTTTATACAAGCTAAAAATAGATAGATATCATATTAGAAACAATCTTTTAAGGTTTGAAGTAAAAGATGAAAAACTTATATACCTTTGTCAAAAATTCATGGTCAAAAATCATCGAGAAGAATATACATCTGAGAAAAGTAGGGAAAGTAGAGGGGGGAAAAAGAAAAAAACTACCGATAAAAAAAGGACCATCTCTCCGCATTTTGCAGAGAGTTGATCTCTCTGCAAATAGAGATGAAGTTTCCACTTGGGGTGAACTAAAACTTTTTTTGGGCCAATATTTTTACCATGCCCTATTATCTATCGACTAAAATAATTAATCTACAAATGCAAATTATCTATCATGTTCAGAATTTATGTGAATAAATTAGAATTTTGGTGGAGAATTGCTACATATATGAGATTACAATGAAATTAGATTTAGAGCTTGACGAGATTTTTTGTATCCTGTATATATTATTTTCTCGTTTAAAGACTTATTATATATTGCTCTCTCTTGAAAGAATCTTAGTCGGCTGGACAGTGAAGCGAAACTACTTTGTCGGGGGAGGAAGATTTTCCAACCGGTTCAATCAGAAAGGGAAGTTAGGTCAGAAGTAAGATCATTAGTGCTAGTAGTTTGGTCGAATTTATGATTATTTTTCATGTAACGCAAGATTGTTTAATAAGCAATAATGATTAACATTAATTAGTTAGTAGTAAAATGTGCCTATATTAACAATCAAACATTATCATAAGTCATATAAGGTAAAAACACAAAGTAACAAACTTTTAAGAAAAATGTGATCATTTGCTCCAAAGGTAAACATTACATTTTTGTGTTTGTGCAAAGAATTGGGAAATATAATGTTGGAGTATTAAAAAAATATATGTTTTGTTATTGTATGACATATGGAGCATGGTCTTGTATTTATGCTTTTCATAAGAAGGGGATCTGTTAGACAAATTTTTGTAAATCATTTTAGAAAACTTTCTATTCAATTTTGAGCAAATTATAAACATGGAATAATTTTACATAGTAAAGATTATGCTTTTCAGAAAAAAAAAATTATCTTTCCATTATCTCTTTTTCTTCTCTTTCTTTTTTAACATTTTCCTTTTTTGCTTCTTTTCTCCATTTTTAGAGTATGATATTGTATATAAATTTAGGTACATCACAAAATCGAGCAATCTTACAAATCCAAGAAATAGTTAATTTAACCAGAAGCAAGATATGAATGAGCTTAAGATACATTATTTTGATAACTTGCTAGTAGAGTTCACGAGAAATTGTAACAAGACCGTAGAACAAAGGTTAGTACTTAGAGTTTGAACAAGTAAATAAGTTTCATCAAAGCATCTAAAAGGATGATCGACTTGATTTCTCGATGAGTTTCAACACAATATTAAAGTTTGACTTGAACAATAAAAAGGTGTTTGAAAGATAAAATATGAATTGAACAAAAATTTTACAATTTGGTTGAGAGAGAGGAGTTTGAGAGAAAAAGAAATGGAGTTGTAGGAGAGAAGAAAGATAAATGGTGTAAAGAAGTAAGGAAAAATAGATATTGCGTAAAGAAATGGAAAAAAGTAGGGAAAGCAGAAAAGAATAAAAAAGAAAAAATTATTGATCTCTCTGCACGGTACGAAGAGTTTTTTTCTCTCCGCACAGTAAAGAAGTAAGGAAAAATAGATATTGCGTAAAGAAATGGAAAAAAGTAGGGAAAGTAGAGAAGAATAAAAAAGAAAAAATTATTGATCTCTCTGCACGGTGCGAAGAGTTTTTTTCTCTCCGCACTGTGCGGAGAGTTGGTTTGTCATCTCTTCGTATTGTGCGGAGAGATTCTTTTTTTTTGCTCCGCATTGTGTAAAGAGTTTGCCAACTCTTCGTACATGGTTCAACTCTCTTCGCACTGTGCGGAGAGGTTTTTTTCCTCTCCGCACTTTTTTTTTACTCCGCTCATGGTTCAACTCTCTCCGGACTGTGCGGAGAGTTTTTTTTTGTTTTTTTAATTTTTATATTCTTTGCACTATGCGAAAACTTTGCCAACTCTCTGCACATGGTTTACCATCTCTTTGCACTGTGCGAATTTTTTTTTTTTACTCCCCATATGATTCAACTCTCTTCGCACTGTGCGGAGAAGTTTTTTTCTCTCCGCACCATTTTTTACTCCACACATGGTTCAACTCTCTCCGCACTGTGCAGAGAGTTTTTTTCCTCTCCGCAATGTGCGGAATGCGGAGAGTTTTTTTTATTTTAATACTTTGCACTATGCGAAGAATTTATCAAGTCTCCATACATGGTTTGTCATCTCTCCGCACTGTGCGGGGGTTTTTTTTACTCATGGTTGTTTTATATATTAAAATTATTATTATTTTTTTAATACTAATGTCATGATGTGTAGAAGAACATTTGTCTGACCACAGAAAAAAATGACATCATGCACAGTAAAATTGGATTAATTTACTGTTGCATCAACAATAGTCCTTCGTTCCCTTTTTATAAGAAGTTTAAAAATGATATGTAAGCCACCTTAATTCTTTGGTGGTGGAAGTGTGTGTATATATAATATGTTCTGTACATAATTACAGCAGAAATTAATTCATAAAATGAATACAAATTAACTCAAATCATGGACATCTATAGGCTGTAATCAAGGGATTTTATCTTTTGCAGAAATCACTCCAGCAGATTCTTGATTTACTGTGAAATCCCCCCTCCCCCCGCAAGCCTAGCATTTGTGAATCTCGAATGCGGAGCTTGGAACGGAGAAATATGAATGTAGAACGACCAAGGCTTTTAGTAAACACATCAGTAAGCTGAAGATTTGTAGGAACATACTTGATCTGAAGTTCTCCCGAAGCCACTAATTCTCGCACAAAATGGTAATCAAGCTCGATATGATTCGAGCGTTTGTGAGAAATCGAATTTGCAGCAAGAAAGACGGAGCTTTGATTGTCACAAAGTAAAATCGGAGAAGAAGAAGATTTCACCTTAAGATCACGAAGAAGGTGACCAAGCCACTTGACTTCAGTAGCGGCATTAGCTAGTGCCCGATATTCTGATTCACAACTTGAACGAGATATGGTCGGTTGTTTCTTAGAACTCCAGGAGACAAGGTTATCACCAAGATAGATAGCATAGCCAGAGATAGATCGACGTGTATCAGGGCAGTAAGCCCAATCAGCATCTGAGTACGTAAGGATGTTACTGGAAGGGGACGGAGTGAAAGAGAGACCATACTGCAAAGTTCCCTTTATGTAGCGTACGATCCGTTTAACAGCTTGAAAGTGACAAAGTGAAGGCTTGTGCATATATTGATTCACAACAGAAACAGCATGAGCGATATCTGGTCGAGTGATAGTGAGGTATTGAAGAGCACCAACAAGAGATCTGTAGAGCGATGGATCATCAAAATCAGGACCAACAGTGGAAAGATGATTACCGATGACCATGGGTGTGCTTACAGGTTTGCTATCAACAAGTTTGGCACGCTGCAAAATTTCATGTGCAAACTTGGCTTGACTGAGAAAAAGGCCAGAGGTAGTCCGATGCGCCTCAAGACCCAAAAAATAGCTTAAGGAGCCCATATCCTTGGTTGAAAATTCCTTAATTAATCTCCCAATAAAGGCATCAAGAAGAGCGGAATTGTTGTTGGTTACTACTATATCATCTACATATAATAATAGATAGATTAAGTCAGCACCTTTGGAGAGGACAAATAGAGATGA